TTGCCTCTTTGAGTGCATACAAATCCTACCTTTGTTCCGCAAGAAGAGTGGGGAGTGGAAAGCCTGTGCTTGGCCTCCAGGCTTTTATTATAGTCATCCTAGGCTATGGTTGCCAAACTGATAAATTGCTATCTTCTCAAATAGAAGACGAGTGCTTGTGCGCAGGACTGACACCTCACTGTTTTCTCCACGTCTACAACTGCCTCCCTTCTTTTCCCTTCTCCCTGTCCTCATGCGGATAAAGACCTCTATTTCTTGCTTAGTGGTGGGTATTTAAATATTTCCCTGTATTCTTCTTTCTGTGAAGCTTGTTTGCCTTCCTGCCTAATTTTCCTGGTGCCTCTCTTGCTTCCTAGTCAACAGAGTTTGTCTTGCCACCCTTGGATGTCTTGTAAATTTGACAACTTTGTAGCTCTGTTACTGAATGTTATGTATTTTCTTGGCCCTCTACTGTGACCTTGGTATGTGGATTGTACAACTGGTACTTCTGTCTGCTTGTATGGGCAATTCTTTCTCCTTGCCCTTGAACTGCTTTGCTTCCCCTTGCTCAGTCTTTTTATTATGGCATGTCTTGAGCTAACCATGGCTCCATTCTGGCTCTTCCTCACGTTGCCTTATATAGCTACCATCAGTATGATCAATTTGTTGACCTTAGGCAAGGAAATCACGATAAAAGGTGTTGGAAGGGTTTTGTTATCCTTCCGGTTTGCAGAAGGACAGAGAGGGACAGATCTCCTCTATGGTAGCAACACAAGCCATGCTTTTCTTTTCCCACCCATTTGTTTGCTAACTGTTGAGGTATAAGAAAGAGACAAGATCACAGGTACGTGGTGATAACTACTCAGAATGTTCTCAATAGGTTACAGCTAGGGTTTAAAACTTAGACTGTATTGCTCCTTCAGTTAATGTTCCCAGTTATCTGTTGAATCATATTAATCTGCACCCAGATATGCCATAGCTTCACCAAACTTGGAGTGTAGCACCATCTCCCCTGTTAGATCTGCCCACAGGTTTGAAAACTTCATTTGGAGTCCGTTGTCTCTTAATAAGAGACACTGAGCAAATGGTCCCTAGTTGCTCTTTGAGGTGTGTTTAATAAGCCATGTTATACTTATCCTGTGTTTAATAAACCATGTTATACTTATCCCGCGTGAATTTGTAATTTCCCCGTTTGTGGTCCGTTTACGGATTTGATCTTTACAACGTCCTGTGGCAGAGAATGCTGAATTTAAATATAATTTCACTGAATGCCCCCGTTCTTTTGTTGCAAAAATAGTTGGTGATCATTCCCTAGTTCCCTTCATGCCATTCATGACTTTATAGACCTTTCAAGTACCTCTACTGTATCTTCTTCTCTACTGCCCCCGCTCAGCTGAAGAGTTGCAGTACTTTAAATTTATCTATGTACGGAAGCTATGCTAACCCCAACTGTTCTCCTTGCTGATAGTCATTTTAAGTATAATATCCTTTTTGAGCTGAAGCATCTGGGGACGGACTGTGTTAGTCTAAATCCTGGGTAATTTTTAACTGCTGTGGTAATGTCTTCTGCTTTGTTCTGTGTGTCTTTTCTAACGATTTATCCTCATCTTTTTGCCTTTTTGATGATGCTGAGCAGTGAACTGCTGTTTTTTGAGAAATGCCTGCATAACTGTGTTTTTTCTCCTGGTTAGTGATATTTGACTTAGGCTTTTTTTGTTTTTGTGAATATTTCTTTGCGTTTATCGACACAGGGAGTTTTATCACCGGTTTTATTATTTCTGTGGGTGTCAATAAGCTGGTGAACTAGAAAAAGCGCTATCTGATCTTTATTTGATAGCATATCTATGATTAATTAGACATACATTCCAGTAACAGTGCTGGAGCCTGTTATGTTGCATTGCTGATGACTTCTTCAAGGTTTTAGTTGCCAAGAAAACCAAATATGCAGACAGTCAGGATGTTGCCAGTTGATGAACATTTGAAAACATGATAGAGGTTCAGAAACATAAGATTAACAGTGCTGGAGGTTGTTCCTATTTTTCTTGCATTAATGTTTTATTCGAGAAAATACATTGTGGAACTGGTTGGAAACCCCATTTCTCGCTGCTAAACTGTATGCTTTTAAGATTTTTCTAATACAAGATAGAGAATTGTAAGGTATTTCTTAGAGTCTTGTTGTACAGTGGTGTGGTGCGTTTGTTTCTTCACAGTCACGTGAATGGGATTTTGTTAGCTTTGCCAGTATTATGACCTGCTGGAAAGCAGCTCTGCAGAGCTGGGCGTCCTGGTGGACAAGTTAACCATGAGTCAGCAATGTGCCCTTGTGGCCAAGAAGGCTATGGTATCCTGGGCTGCATTGGGAAGAGTGTTGCCAGCAGGTCGAGGGAGGTGATCCTCCCCCTCTACTCAGCCTTGGTGAGGCCCCACCTGGAGTACTGTGTCCAGGTCTGGGCTCCCCCATACAAGAAAGACATGGAGCTCCTGGAGCGAGTCCAGTGGAGGGCTACAAAGATGATGAAGGGACTGGAGCACCTTTCCTATGAGGAAAGGCTGAGAGAGCTGGGCCTGTTCAGCCTGGAGAGGAGAAAACTGCGGGGGGAATGTTATCAATGTGTTTAAGTATCTGAAGGGACGATGTGAAGAGGATGGGGCCAAACTCTTTTCAGGGGTGCCCAGCGACAGGACAAGAGGCAGCGGGCACAAACGCACGTGCCATCTGAACATGAGGTAAAGCCTCTTTCCTGTGAGGGTGACAGAGCACTGGGACAGATTGCCCAGAGAGGTAGTGGAGTCTCCTTCCCTGGAGATATTCAAAACCCACCTGGACGCGATCCTGGGAAATATGCTCTAGAGGACCCTGCTTGAGCAAGGGGGTTGGACTAGATGATCTCCGGAGGTCCTTTCCAACCTCAGCCATTCTGTGATTCAGAATCTCCCTGCCCAAAGGTTTGCACTTATACTTCCCTGTATGTCAAGAGATTATAAATGCTTTTCAAAGGCAGTTTCTGCAGAGTGTAATTATTTTCAAGGTGGGTGTTTAAGAATGCTATCTTTGAACTGTCTGAAAATGCAATATCTTGCAATTGGGCTTTCTTATTAAAAAAGCTCCTCTTGTTTGTTAGTGATGGAAAACCTTATGCTTTTTGGGTGACTTTCTTTCTTTTAAAGCATAGGCCCCTGTAGTGACAGCAGGTAGCTCTAGTCTGAAAAACGGTGATTCTGGGAGTAGCCTGTGGCAGAGCATGTTATCAGCAATAGGGTGTTTGAGCAGATCTGTCTGGGTATCATGCAGATAAATAGCATAGCAAATAGCTATGAATTCCACTGTTGGACCCATGAAAGCAGAAGTGTAAAACACCCCCCCCCCCCGCCGAGTCCTTTGAGACATCTTTGGATGGTCCCATATTTATGCTGCTTAGGGTAGATTTAGTAAGGAGAGGTATTGCCCTCAGTGAGTCAGTGATTTAATATAAATTAAATGAGAAATCTTTAAATTCAGCCTTCAGATATTGTGCATTTCTTGCTCACTTCATGTATCATATTGTGGTTATGTTCTTTTGTTTTCTCATTACCCTGCTGTCATGTTTTGTAATCCTAGCTTTAAATATAAATAATAATTTTTTGAGACAAGGACCATGGATTGTTTATGACAAGCTTAGGCAGTATTTCAGCACTTTGCTTAAGTAAATAAAGGACAGACTTAGGCTGTTTCCTGTTCTTGTTCCTCACATGAGTGGAAGCTAATAGGTGGCGTAACGTGCTGTATGCTTAGATCTTAACATAGTATGGACTGTGTGTCAGATACATGGTGGCATTTCTGAAAAAAAATATGTAATGAGAGGTTAGGAATCAAATGCTTGTTGATAGCGATTTGTGCTTTGTGGGTATTGTTTTAAAGGAAGGTATGAAGTGGTTACAGTTACTGTTTTCAGAGAAATAAAATAACCTTGTTCTAGTAAGGCAACTAACAAGGGTAAATACAGTATCTATTTCTGTGAGACAGCCAGGAAGATTTTTAAGTCAGAACTGGACTTTTGCACAAAGTAGCTCAATTTCAAAGAACTAGAATACAAACAGATAATATGACATTGCAGTAAGCGGTCCATTAAGTTATCACAAGCAGTACTGAGCCCTCTGTGAGTGTAAATAGCAAGCTCGTGTCCTCAGATACTTTTGCCACATCTAACCTTTGATCAGAAGGTTTATTTGAACTCTCCAATATTTCGGCTTCTCCCTATCGTTGCTGTTTCTTTTATCCTATTAGAATTTAAAGTCTGCCTTTTATTAGGCCTGCGGAAAAACTCTCCTGAGATGTGGTTTGCCTTTTAAACAATTCTTAATAAAGCTGCTGAGCCATTGAGAAGTATAGCTGGGAGCAGAAAGAATTCTTGTCTTTATTGCCTTTAGTTTAGGGAAAAGGGAAAAAGCAATAAGTGTAATTCAAAAATACTATTCTACATAATACATATTTATCTTTTTGATCTAATCCAAGACATTTTTGAGGCAGAGGGTTATGTAGGATTCTGAAAATGATTTGACCTTTCTGTGGATGCAAATATCTGAATTATGCTAAGAGGGTATAAGTTTATCAAGAATGTATGCTTTGACTTTAGTACATAAGCCACTAACTGATTTCCTGAACTTATGAAGAATTGTTGCCATAAGAGGCTTAGTTTTAGAATTTTCCTCCATTGTATTTCCTTTCCCTGAAACGTTTTGTCCTGAGACAAGATACAATACTTGACAGACAAGACTAGGCTGGTCTATCCACTTACCCTTTGAATGCACAGGCACAATGCTGGCTGGCAGTAATTTGTGTTACACAAGCACAGCAATCTAAAGCAGGTCTAGAATGCGTGCCTTCCAAGTCTTTGCCTGTCCTCTAAGATGTTTAAAGAACGATGACTGATGTTGTTGCAATGATTTACAGCAGTAGGAGAATTGAAGTTGCTACAGTCAGGAGTTGTGGACTTTAAGCATAGCTTTGATCTCTGACTCTGCTGTCTTTCTTGTAAAAGCAGATAGAATGCCAGGATGCCTTAGAAGCAGCGGCTCGCGCAGAGGGCCTTCCGCTGGACACCTCCATACACTCCCAGCTGAGAATACTGGATGAAGAGCATCACAAGGGCAAATACCACCATGGCCTGAATGCGCTGAAACCCATACGGACTACTTCCAAGTAAGTCTTGAGGCTAAAGAAGAGCTGATATAATGTCTACTTTTCAACCCAGTCACAAAACAGGATTGTAGCGGTAGCTGACTGATACTGAAAACATTAGAATTTGTTTAGCAAGTACAACTTGCATAGGTCGGGTGGAACTTTGAGTACTTTTAATGCGAGGAGGCTTTGATTTTCTTGGGGGTTACAATACTGTCTCCTTTTTCATTTGTCTGTGTTTTTCTGTGGTTTTGTTTTTATTTTTCTTTTAGACACCAGCACCCTGTTGATAATGCTGGGCTTTTCTCCTGTATGACCTTCTCCTGGCTCACTCCTTTGGCCCACAAAGCATACAAAAAAGGGGAATTGTTTATGGATGATGTATGGTCTTTGTCAAGGCATGAGTCTTCAGATGTCAACTGTAGAAGGTAGAGACATCTTGGTCCATATTATTCTCTTATTTCCTTTTTTATAAGTTAGTTCATAGGCAGTGCCATGATATTGCCGTAGAAAAGTGGCACTGATATTCTTGTTTTGCCTTTCTCCATCAGAAGAATGGAATTTAGTTTTTTACCCTTCATAGACCACTTGTTCCTGCTACACTACTTCTGTAATCTCGCTGATTTCACTGAATTTAGTAGAGGATTTTGTCTCTAGGAGTGTTTTGCAATTGCTTTTCTGGTCTTACCTGTTTTAAACTATTTCTTTTTTAAACAAAACTGTCTCTCAGCAGTTAGAGTGCAAAAAATCTTGAACTGAAATAGTTAAAAACATTGAAAGTAGCAAGGTGATTTGTATATGGGTCACATCTTGCAATCAGGTTAACCTGTTGTGGCTAATGTGGAGTCAAAATCTGAGAAAAATTCTCAACTCTTCTGCCAGATCGGAAAGGAAAAGTGACAATAGGTCAATCAATCAAGATGGCCAAAGAGACTCCAGGCAAAGCAAAAGGTATTCTATTTTTCATCCCTCTTTTAGGAAGAAGTAACACAACGTAGCGATTTCAAGATGGAAATACTTCTCTTTACCTCACTGAGTGAACCAAGTATTTATTTCTTTTGAGATGTAGTGATTTTTGTTGCTCTTAGCTAGGAAGTACTTGGAAATTTCACAGAGCAAGTGCCTGTGAGTTTGTACCTCTTATCCTGGTGAGAGATTTATAACAACAGGGCTTGTGTTTTTTATTAGGCTGGAGAGGTTGTGGCAGGAAGAACTGAAAGAAACTGGGCCTGATGATGCTTCCCTACGGAGGGTCGTGTGGATATTCTGCCGCACCAGACTCATCATTTCCATAGTGTGTCTGATGATCACGCAGCTCGCAGGTTTTAGTGGACCAGTAAGTAATATCCATCCTTTTTTTAAACAACCCCAGAGGGCTCCATTTCATGCCGAGCTGTATAATATTAAGGTTTCATCCGGAGTCACTTAATTGTTTTGACTAGTTAGAAATTCTGGTGGGGCAAAATTCCAGAGTGTTATGATAATCCAAGATAGGTTTCCTACAGCCGGTGGATCAGTTGCCGAATACTGAGGCTGAGTTTTTGGAGAAGGGAGGGGGAGTTTAGATATCTTGGAGGAAATGCACACTTGTTTTTTGTCTTTGGTTTTGAGTTTAGTTTGAAGTTCTTCCTTAACTGGTTTGTGGTCTCTTTGCATAAAATTCTTATGAGGAGATCTTTTGATTGTGTTTTCTTTTTGATTTTGTAAATTTACTTTGTAATAAAATTCAGTATGGCAAAACACTAACCTTAGATTATTGGCATTAGTAGCACAGTCTTCAAGAGGTGGAACCAAACAATTTTATTAGCGCACTAATTAAAACTAATATAAGCAGGTCTCAAGAGAAATCTATAGGTATAGTCTTTACTGAGCCTACTGAGAATGGCCAGACAGGTTTCAAGTATAAGCGTTAGAGTACGGCATTGCCTCTAGGAACTGCTGCTGTTTGTTGCTATGGGTCGTAATGAAGATACAACATATGGGACTTGACATTCACGCCATTTTTGTCACCTGTTTGTTGCACATGCTGTGCAGATTTACAGTTGAATTTTTGACTAAATTTATTCTCTACACATTTCCCTTGAGGAGTAGGAGCAATATTACTGCTTGTAGTACACGTTTCAGTGTGCTGGTAAGCTGAAGGTTCATTTCTTGGGTAAGTACATTTGGGTGCACTGTTAGGTGAAATGTCTTTTTAAAAAATGTTTTCCTGCTTTTAAGTGTCTTATAAAAATGCTCTGCTTTTTTAAACCTTTTTAAAGTTTGCTTTGTTTCATGTAATATGAATAACAATAAATGTTTTTGTGGTACTGTTTTCACAGTAATAGTTTATGGTAGCTTGTGTTATTTATAAAACATTTGAACATACTTTGGTAATTAACAATAAATCATGATTAAGGTTTTAACAGTACTAGCTTTCCCCAAGAAGAGCTTCTGTCATTGTTTCACTACAGGGCTTTAGTAGCTGCTTTTATCTTTAGCAGAGAACTTGCAGCAGGGTTGCCCCTAATTTCTTTAGAGTACTTCCCTCAATCTGTCACAGCCAAACTACTGAGTGGTGGGGGAAGAGGGAGGAGAAAAACAGACGAACCTGACTAGACTGGGGGCAAAGTTTGCTTTGGATGCTTGATTTGGATAATTTTAAATTATCTATAGACATTTGTCTATTTACAGGCAAATTTATACTCCTCTCTGAATAAGGAACCATGCCCTTTTGGTTCCATCATTTGGCATGAAAACTGAGTCTTTACCACCCCTCCTCCTTGCTTTCTAAAATGGCATGCCTTATGGATATGCCTATGCTGTCTCCTCTGAAGTATTAGTGCTTTTCTGTATTGTTACACCCTTTCAGTTACCTGAAGGTGAAAAGGGAGATCAGGAAAAGCACTTGACTTGACCTTGTGTATTGACAAAAATTAACCAAACGGAGTTAAGCACTATATTAAACTTCACAATTTTGAACTAAATATTTTATGACCTCGAAATGCCAGCCAGCAGTCGTGGCTTTGCTAATGAGCATTGTGATGGTTATAGCTGGAAGGGAGTTGTTACAGACTTCCTGTCTGGGTTTTTTGATGTCAGACAGATCCTTCAAGGGTCTTCTCCCTTTAGTTTTCATAAATTCTGTATCTGGCACAGTGTCTAAACCCCAGGCCTGGTGAAAGACAGCGGCATATGTCAGGCTGCCTTGTAATATAACCATCAGAATGTGCTAGTATCAATGAGATATTATTTATCTCCAGTGAATGTGTGCTGCCGTTTAACCAGCTACCAAAACTTTCATGTTTGAGTTGAGGAGCAAAAAAGTTTTGATTCACTAAACATGATCAGTTTAACTCCAGGTCTGAACAAGGGACCTGTTTGCAACTGTTCAGAGCTATTCTTCCAGTTTGGGAGATGGGGAAACTTGCTATCTCAGTGGAGTACAGCTTGACAGTTTGGTCAGTTATTGGAGGGGGGCGTGGTAAGCTGCTGGAGGTAAGTTTCCCGCTTTCCCAGTTGGCTCCAGTTGCAGCCTGCCCTGTGCTGTCGCACACTGGCTGTGGTGGGGACGCCCGCGCTGCAGTGGGACCAGTGACAGAAGCTGTTCTTTAGAATTTTCAGGATGGCTGTTTTCTGCGTCAGAATGAGGCAGTCCTGCGGGGCAGAGCCAACGCCAAGAGCAAAGGTAAGGTAATGTTTATTCAATGAGAATGCTTAAGACAGCCGAGCAGCTAGTACCAACTACTATGGTAATAGTCACAGGAATTCCTTTACTGCTTTAGTTTGAGTTTTTCTGTACTGTAACTTGCTTATTTTGTAAAGAACTTTCTACTGGATTTTTTTCATTAAATTAGCTTGAATTCAAACAGTATATTCTCAGATGTAAATGTTAACTCTGTGTGACTTTTTTCCCCCCCTCCCTTTTCAAAATTCTATAATTTGCTGTTTCCTCTCTTCTTTCTTCTGGAGAAAAAAAAAAAAGGGGCATAATGTAAGCTGGTCTCTATTTCATCATGGGAGATGCTGATTCTCTAAAATAGTGCTGAAAAATTGCACTAAAGTTTTGAAAGGAATGAGACCCCAGGAAACATCTGCTATCTTTATACATCCTCTCTTGGAGACTTTCAGCAATGCTGTGGTGTGCGAGAAAATGCTTGCAGTCTGCGACCATGCTGAGTTACAGCTCATGAGGAAAAAGGGGGATTTTCACCCCACTGCTCAGTGACTCAGTTGCATATGTTGGATTGAATACTGGAAAAAGAAGTCAGTAATCTTCTTAGTAACTGCAAACCAACTGTATGCAGTTGTGGTCCAAACAGTGGATGTAAAACTAAATCCAAGTAAGGATAAAGTTGGAATGCATTAGATCTGTGAGTGTGAGCTCCTCACATTTGTTCAGGAATCGGTGTGTAAATTTTCTCAGTGGCCATTCTAGAACCTGATGGACTTCTGGCTTTAATTCACACCTGGGAAAATGAAAAGACCAAAATTATTTACAGCATGTTTCCTTGGTTCTGACATGCAGACTTGCTTTCCTCAGAACAGATGAATTTTATCTCCGTTTTTTTCTATTGTTTGGTGCTGGGCTATAGCTGTTGATGCCTTTGCTGAAATAGTGGGGTTTTGGTTTTTTTCCTCTCTCTTCACACTGTAGAGAACTCTTATTTGCAAAACCTGGTTTAGCCAAGAGGACTTCAATGAACTGTGAAAGGCTTCTCAAGTTTTTTCCTTGATCTCAGATTTTTTTTTGTTTTTGAACAACAACAAAAAAAAAGCTCTCTAGGAAATCTCCTTTTGTTATCTGTGAAGCCTTATTGTAGTATACTTTTTAAACCAGATTTCAGAATCTGTGCAGCCTTGGAAGCCTCCCCCACTGGCATCTGCAAGTTTGACTTCTTTTTGGACTGCATGAACAAATATTGGTTCTCGTTTTGTATCTTTAATTTTCTGTGTGTAGTTTCAAATCTAGTTTGTTTTTGAGGCGAAGACTGACTGTTAGATACTAGCCCTTTATAATTATCTTGTATATACAGATTGTACGCTTATGCAATGCTCTACCTGTTGTACGGTGTTTGTGAGATGTTACCGTTTTAAGATGGCACTTTGTTTCAAATAAAAGCCTGTTGTTTCTCAGTCAGTAGTAATTAATGTTGCTGGTGATTTTGAGTTATATGATGTTACGTTGTGCCGTTGGACCACAAAGAGCTGGAAGTGGGAACTGGTGGTTTGGGGGCTACCCTCTTTCTGCAGGTGATGTTTGAAATGTGATTCCTGAGGTAAAGTGTTTATGGTTTTGGAGGGAGAGGGGATGGGGAGGGAGTGAATGGTTAATTTTATTTTTTTTCCTTTTTCTTTTCCCCTGCCCCCAATGACTTATGGTATTACATGCCTTGTGTTTTCTGCTTGTTTTTTTCTTTACTATTAAACTGCTGATGTTTATTTCCAGGAATGTTTTGCAAATGTCGTTCTCACTCTTCCCCACTACAACTGTAGGTACATTGTTCCTTTTTATCAAATAAGCACGTTTGAAGCAAACCAAAGATAAAATAAAAAAGGTCTTAATATCACATAAAGGAATGTCTCTTAATGTTCTCAGATGTATAAGTAGCCACTATATTTTAAAACTCTTCTGTATGATAATGCATTGCTTTCAGCTAACTGACAGATTTATGTTAAGTTAGAAGACACGGAGGATTAGAAGCGTGCTGCGAGGAATGTGGTTCCAAATTAAACTCTCTCTACTTACTAAATTTGACTCAGTGCTTGGCTCTCAGCAGGGCTTTGTTACAGTACTCCTTTTATTGACACCTTTTACTTCTAGAAAGAAGATGCTTTGTATTTCAAATGGCTCTCTTAAAAGCAAAGTAGCCTACTTATTTCTAACTTAACATAAAGTTGTTGCATGGTCCTCTGGGATGATGGGTGTTCATGCAAGCTTGCATTTCTTCCTGTAGGCGTTCGTTGTGAAACATCTCTTGGAATATACGCAGCAGAGTGAGTCCAACCTGCAGTACAGCTTGTTTTTAGTTTTTGGCATCTTTATGACGGAAATAGTGCGATCCTGGTCCCTTGCACTAACCTGGGCTTTAAATTACCGCACGGGGGTTAGACTGCGTGGAGCTATCTTGACAATGGCATTTAAGAAAATTCTCAAACTGAAGAATATCAAGGAGAAGTCTCTGGGAGAGGTAAGCCACAGTATCCTCTTGGAAACTGCAGAGTGAAAAGGGATAAGCAATACATTCCTTTGAGGATGAGCTGTGTCCTAAACTTAAATAATCTATGTTATGTGTATTTTTCAGCTCATAAACGTATGTTCCAATGACGGTCAAAGGATGTTTGAAGCTGCAGCAGTTGGCAGTTTGTTGGCTGGGGGCCCTATTGTGGCCATCTTAGGAATGGTTTATAACGTGATCGTTCTGGGTCCAACAGGCTTCTTGGGCTCTGCTGTCTTCATCCTTTTCTACCCAGCAATGGTGAGTTGAAGAGTCTTTGATAATCCTTCAAATGCTTCATTTTTCTTAGTTCAAGCATGTGTAGTTCTGAACAGGTGTTGAGAAGTGCAAGGTTAAGCCCGTTTGTGGTGCTACACGATACTGAAGTTGTTCCCAAAGATGGTATAAAAAGCAGAAATTTGGAAACACGAGACTCAAAAGTGGTAAAGAGAATTAGAAAATGGAAATAGGGAAGTGAATAGATTTGACTTTGAGATAAATATGTATAGCTAAGTTACACTATGAAATGAGCAAAGCTCAAGTATTTGCGACTGAATCTGGAAAGACGGAAGGCCTCCAGGTTGTGTACAAGGGGCAGAGGCTCCGTGTTTACACGTTTCAGTCAGTTCAAGTGGTGCACGTGCAGGAGTGCACCACTCCTGAATTCCACAAAAGGTGTTGAAGAGCACCCATCGGAGAAAGAAGTGTTCTTGGTTAGATACTGCTGCCTCTACTTCTACTGAGCTGTGAAATAGGCTAGTCTAAGCCAAAAATCTTCTCACCTCTGAAATGTGCTGTGCGGCTGCTGAAGATTTGTCACTGTTTTCAGAATCTCCATTTTAAAAAGCAGGGAGGCAGAATACTGTGAGGTCCGCTTTGGTCTAATTCATCTGCAGAACAGTAAGGATTAAAATAATGGGAATTACATTCTAAAAAAAGGGAATAAGAAGGGGTGGAGTTTGGTCATCTTCACTAGCAATCTTTTTAGGCTGAAGGGGACTTGGAAAGAGATGGCAAGAGGAGGGAGGGCAAAGTGTGGAAAACTTACTAATGAAGTGTGTGTTTTGGATTTCGGGAGAGGAATGGCATGAAAGTAAGAATAAAAGATACTTAGGAAAACATGAAGAGCTATTGCTTTATAGTTTGGTTTAGTAAAGATGTTGATATTGTTTTAGCACCTTCCTAGCACTGGCATGTTGTAAAACTTGATCTGGCGGTGTAAAGTCCAGCTCTTTCTTACGCCTTATAGGACCAGGTTAAATGGTTGGCTGAAAACAGTTCTAGTGTTTGTAGTTTAGTTTGTCTTGAGGTTAATGTGTTTGTAGTCTTTGTACTTCAGAAACTTTAAAGAACTCTGGTACTATTCAAAACTGGTGAAAGCCCATCACTTTGTTTTCACCAATTTTATTTTTATTTAGACTTCCTAGCATGAGTTTAGTGTTCAGTGCAGATGGGGTGGGAGGATATGAGTAGCCTTCTTAGCCTGCTGTTTATGTCAAAATGATCGTCGTCTTGCCCCGTCATTGAAATCCCATTTCAGATTCAGAATTTGCTTCCTCTGGTAGTTAGGAGGACTTGAATGTACTTGCCGTTTTGGAGTTGCTGCTAATATTGTGTGGTGATGCATCTTGTTTCAGATGTTTGTATCACGCCTCACGGCTTATTTCAGAAGAAAATGTGTATCAACAACAGATGAACGTGTGCAGAAGATGAATGAAGTTCTTAATTATATTAAGTTCATTAAAATGTATGCCTGGGTCAAAGCATTTTCTCAGAATGTTCAAAGTGAGTTCGCACAGTCTGTAAATGTTTCCTCTTGTGCACGTGCCCCATTGCTTAGTATCCTAGCACATCCTCCTCGCTTAGTACAAAAGGTGTTGATGCAAATGCAGTGTAATAACACATCTGTCCCTCAAGCTCCCTGTTTCTCTCATGCATGATGGGCTGGAAAAACAGTCCTGCTTCTGAAGTTTCACCTTCTAGCATAATAACGTTTGTGACTTTGCTCTAATTTTGAAATGTTGTTCTATTTCTAAATCATTTATTAAATGTGCAGACTGCCCCATTTTTAATGAAAGTAGAAAGACCTCTATTCTTATGGAGATTTACAGACAATTATATTTGCCCCTCTGTTACTGTAGTCCTTGCAGGGAAGTATGTAACATGATAAATGCTAAAGCGTAGAGTTAGGCCTCTCTTGGTGTTTCTAGTGCTGTGGATAGTGTCTGCTGTGTATGTACCCGTCTGAATCGTACTTCAAACATGGTGCCCCTATTTATATTTCTAGAAATTCGGGAGGAAGAACGTAAAATCTTAGAGCGTGCGGGCTACTTCCAGAGCATCACTGTGGGTGTGGCTCCCATAGTTGTAGTTATTGCCAGTGTGGTGACGTTTTCTGTCCATATGATCCTTGGCTACGATCTTACAGCAGCTCAGGTAAGGTAACTGGTTACCTTGTCACAATGTTGAAAATATTATTTGCAATATTAGTACAGTTGCTTTTCTGTTAGGCCTTAATGAAGATACTTGAGATCTCTTTAGCATGTTCTTTGTTTTGTGGCCTGGCGCTCAAAAATGAACGTCTGATGGGTGTGACAGCAGAAGATCTAGTGTTGCATTTTGTGCAGCAAGCTTTCACGGTGCTGTTTGAGTCCTGACCTTCCCCAGAACAGGTTTTGAGCTGAATGTGAACCAGCACTCCTGGTTGCTATTCGGATTGGACATTGGGATTACTGGACGTTTTCTGTCTTGCAGTGTGTTTGGATGCAAACAGCACAGATCTGTCTCTCTTTGTGTTCAAATCCTGTCTTAACTCACAAGTTTTCAGAAGTAATAGGCTAATGCGGAATTTTGCTGTCTGCCGTTTTCAGTGGACCTGCAAACATTGAAGACTTGTTTTTGTGGTCTGTTACAAAGCACTGGTGAAAGAGTTGGATGGATCTGCTGCTTTCTGCTGTCCCAGAATATGTTCAGTCTTGAAATGGCTATTCTTGAATTGTGGACCTTTTCCATGGCTTTGAATTGCTGCTATGGGTAGAACTTAACCTTTAGAAGGTTGGAATTGCTAGTGGGTGTATTGCCACCAAATGTGATTCTCTTTCCTGTCTTGTTTTCAGGCATTCACAGTGGTCACTGTCTTTAATTCAATGACTTTTGCTCTAAAAGTAACACCTTTCTCAGTGAAGTCTCTGTCTGAGGCATCTGTTTCTGTTGACAGATTTAAGGTAAGCTGTCCTTTAGCCTTGTGCTCTTATGTGGCAGTCAGTGTGGCATGCTGTATGCGTATAGTAGATGCTAAGGGGTCGCTTTAAAGCCAGTGTTGTTTTAATGTCTGAGGAGTACTTTTCTTTATGCTTACTACTCCAGATTATTATATCTTGCAGAAGGGATACAAATCCAATCAAGGAATATTAGAGGTCTGAGAGAATACTAGTGTGGGAAGCGAGATATTCTTGCTTAATGATTGCAGGGTTTTGAGGTTGAACCCTATAAGAGATGGGACACTGGACTAGATGGATCATAATATGCAGTTGTGATCCAACTAAACAGAATCTAGGGCAGAACGTTATAGCCCAGATGACGCAAGTACTCCAATTTCATTCTTCAATCCCTGTGAATAAACATACTATGTGGATTTAGTATGAACTCAGAGGACAGGCCTTTATTTTGCCTTCTCTTGGGGGCAATAGTGCATTGCAGGGATATTTCCGGATAGGATAGTGAGTCCCTGTGTGCAAATATTGACGGGTATATGGATTCCATTTAACGAATTCTTGAAACACGTTTGGATATGAGAGGAAGGGAATCTGCAGAATGCTTGAGAGATCCCATTGCTTTTGAGCATGTTTGTTTAATCTTTTGTGTGAGTCACCCTAAACCAGGCTTTCTTAAATCCAGATATACTGAAAGGAGTTTTTTGGGGGGGAAGAGGAGGAGAGGGGAAATTGTGTTATGCTCCTTAATACAAGTTATACTGTTTACAGTCTTAAACTGTAAACAAAGTGGGGACCCTAAATGTCACAAAAATGTAACTGGTTCTCTGGCTCTGTGAATGAATATGAGCTTTCTTATGGACGTGTGATTCAGGCATACCAGTTGCAAGAGTAAGACTGGGATTTGAGATATCTGTAACCACAAAAGGCTTTTTAATTCAAAATGGGTTATGTAAATGGAAATAATTTTATTTTGTAGTTAAATTGTGTGAAAAATCTCTTCCTAATCTGTGTTGATTATAAATACTGATGGATGTGGTGGAGAACATGATACGATGGACTTGATGGCTTAATTATTATTGTCATGCAGTCCAAGACTGGTCAGCTAAACTTGTGTCAGGTTGCTTTTTTCCAGCAGCAAATGTACCTGTTTCGCATGAGGCTGCAGTAAGTCGTTCCATCTCCTTCTGTAATGAGCTGGTGTGCAGAGCAAGTAGGTCGCTTTCCCTCCTGGTGACCTCTGCTCTCCAACCCATGTATTCTGCTCATGTTTTGTGCCTGGAAATTACAGAGCTGCAGTCGCAAACAGTGTTAGAAGAATAAGCCCCTCTCATACAGCATGCGGAGTATTGCAGTTCTCTAAAAGTCTTACTGTATCTAAGTGCTTCCACCACATCCAGGAATGCCCGGGCCACGTAGCAGGCCTGGAGTTAGTTTACACTAATGAGCTACCTTTTGCTCTTCAGCTTCCTCCCACTGTATAGCCTGATGTGTTTTGCTGCGTGAGTGTGCCGTAGGCTTGTCTCCCAGTCTTGACCAGGTGTCTCATCTTTACACCTCTCTCACAACTCCTATCAGAGTTTATTTCTAATGGAAGAGGTTCATATGATAAAGAAAAAACCAGCCAATCCTCATACCGCGATAGAGGTGAAAAATGCTACCTTGGCTTGGGACTTCTCCCACGCCAGCGTCCAGAGCTCACCAAAGTTGACCCCCAGAGTGAAAAAAGACAAGAAGGTCACAAAGGGCAAGAAAGAGAAAATGAAGCTGCAGAATGAGGGACAGCAAGCTGTGCTGGCAGAGCAGAAGGGCCATCTTCTAGTGGACAGTGATGACCATCCTAGCCCTGAAGAGGAGACCAAAATCATCCACCTGGTTAACCTTCGGCTTCAGAGGACTCTCTACAACATTGACTTGGAGATAGAAAAGGTAAGAGAAGAAAGGAGAAATTAATCTGGGCTCTCAAAAGGCTGTCTGTCTTGACTGTCCCTTGCAGTAGAGAGCTGTGTGTCTTTGCGTGAAGTGGAGCTTATTGCTGTTTGTGCGCTCCTGTAATATCCATGGCAACTGCAGTAGGGTGCAGTACCTGATCTTGATGTGAACAGTAGTGCCATTTTAGCAAACAATCCCTGTAAACAGCCTGTGAAGCACTGTAGGTTACATAGCTGTCACCCTGTTGCATTTAACTCAGGATTTTGCTGTTTGTAGCACTCAATACGTTGTATGACCCCGAGCTTAAAGAATCAGTAAAGCAACAGAGATATCGGTAGAGGATTTATTTCTGCAGCCATCTGATAATTTTGTGGGGTTTCACCCATGTTCTGGATGAGTATTTTAGGTGATTGGGTGTTCTAATGGAGCATAACAGTAGATTTTCATTGGGGAACGTGTAGTTAATTCTTCACTGAGAATTTGTGTATAATAGAAGGATACAGAGAGATTTTTCAAGAAGTTGGAAAGAGGACTCCGACTGCTTTTAAGTTGGGTAAAAGCATGTAAAATGTTGAAGAAAAAGCATTGAACTTCATACGTGCCATCTTTTTATTAATACTGAAGTTTTGTAGTCTGGCACTTGGATCCTGTAGTAATGCAATCCATGCAGCTACCAAGATACTTGTAGTTAAAATGTCTCGTGCCCTCAGTGAGTAGAGGGGTAGTCTAAATTCTCAAGAGAGGGTAGCATATATTTTTTAAAGTATTAAGTAGACTTGAAACAGGAGTACGCAGGTACTTGAAAATGTAAAGGCCAATTCATTGTCAGAGGTGGAAAGCTTGTAAACGAGAGAGGCCAGCAATGTGTTCCACAAATGACTATATACCCTTTTAATTCACTTTACCCTTTTTACAAAAGGAATAAAAATAGTCTCCTCGAATCTACTGTTTATTTAAGGTGAGTGTCAACCCACTAATTTTATTGCAGACAAATGCTTCAGGTAGTTGGATTTCACCTTTTCTTTGATCCTTAGCAAGCTGCATCTTACAGGCAGGAAGTATTACTGGATACATATATCCTAAATTCCCCTTTTCTTTCAGTCCTTCCGTCTTTATATCTTTCCTTATCACACTGACTGATTATTCTTAATAGAAGATTGGGCAGTTATCTGTGAATTTGTTATGTTTTTCCAGTCTTCTCCTTATTTGTCTCCTAATCAAGTCAATACAAATTATTTTTTTTAGTTGGGGCTCTCGTCCACTGAAGGCAGTGGACAATTTGCCTTTGGACCAGGTTCTTGAGAGTGTCTCAATGCATTCTGTTGAGACAGGCCTTGTTGCTTTGGGCTGAGTGCAGCATTTTCTGGGAGCTGTACCAGGCTCAATCAGAGGAAACTAATCTTAAAACACATTGCTTTTCACCTGTGGAGTTCACCTAGTTTTAACCCATAATGGGCTAGTGTTCACTGTTTATTTTTCTTGAGTTAAAATATTGATTCAGTCTGGTGGTTTTTTTTCAATTTGATGCGTCCTTTTTCAGCTAGCATTAAGTCTTACTGTCCCCTCTGAGATATTGTAGGTAGTCCAAATTCTGAACAGAATGGGAATGTAAGTAATGAGTACCTTTTCTTTTTTCTTTTTCTTTTTTTTTTTTTGTCCTGCCTAGGGAAAACTGGTTGGAATTTGTGGCAGTGTGGGGAGTGGAAAAACTTCACTTATTTCAGCTATTTTAGGACAGGTGAGAAATTCTGTTTTGACTACTTATGCTCTTCTCTTTCCTATCTCCTATTTCCCTTATTTTGAAAAAATGAGTCCATTCCCATTATACCCTATAGAAGAAAGGCTATTTGAAACATAGAATGGCATAGTTCTAAGGTTTTGTCTTCTATTCCAGATGACTCTGCTGGAGGGTAGCATTGCAGTAAGTGGAACATTTGCTTACGTGGCCCAGCAGGCCTGGATTCTCAATGCTACGCTTAGAGACAACATTCTCTTTGGAAAGGAATATGATGAAGAAAGGTTTGTCAGCGCTGTTTGCTGATTTTTGTGAAAGCTTAGTAATTCTTGGCCCAAATGTAGGAAAATTTAATGTAGCCTACCTCTCCTTTAGAGTCTGCCTTTAAGACTCAAATGAGTCTCCTTTAAGAGCCTACCTCTCCTATGTGTGGTCACCGTGACTGATGGCTGCCAGTGCTTGTGTCATCCCTCATTTGCAGTGAGGGCTATACGTCACTTGGAGTACGGTCTGACCTCTGTTTGTAGCAGCTGCTGCGGGACAGCCCTGACATGTCATTTGCTCTTGCTGTCCTGGCCTAGCCCTCTGTAAATACAACTGCTGTTGGCGATGTACTGGCACTTCATGTGGCCGTCTCCCAGTGGGGAGCCTTTCCTAGGCTCTTTGCTAGCTAGCTCTGGAAAGAATGTGCCTCTTTACCTTCCTGGTATTCCAGAAGTAGGTAATAAATTGCTGTCCTCAGTTTCCTGGGAATCCAAGGCAGATCACCTGCTTTTAGGCTACTGGAATGACTGATATTTATGTAAAAAAATAAGATAATGCTGTGTCAACTAGACACTTTGAGGGAGGGGGGAAAAAATACTGCTGATCTAACTCATGTTCTTCAGATATAATACTGTGTTGAATGGTTGCTGTCTGAGACCTGACCTAGCCATCCTTCCAAATGGGGACCTGACAGAGGTACAGATTTTGCTTGTAATAAACTAGTGGATGGAGAAAAGTAGGATTTTGGCTTGGCAAACCAGACTGGGGTGAGGGGAACATCAGTCTGGTATGCATATAAGCCAAGCTGCTGAACGCCTTATTGCATCTTCTTGAGCTCATCAGTGCAGGCCTGGACTATTGAGACTGAGTTGTGTCGTATTTTTGATTTGGATGTTGATAGTTTGAGAGAGTTTTTCATTGTTTTGTAAATGTAGTTGTCTTTACAGGCCCTATTTAAGCTTGATTTAAAATAGCCAAGAAAAGCATGGCTGATGTTAATACAATACAAATAAAATAAGCAGAAAGCTACTGTCAGATTTGATGCGTATTAGCCTTGAATTTATTGATCATATAATACATTTCACAAAGAAGTGGACACTTAAGACTATAGAATGCATATAATATTGTATGTTCTGTTTCATTTCAGTCACCTCACAAGCTCAGTGAATTTTCTGTGTTGCATGGTGCTGTAGAACTAAAACAATGGGTGTGTATCTGTGCAGATCGGTGAACGAGGGGCTAACCTGAGTGGAGGACAACGTCAGAGAATCAGTCTGGCTCGAGCACTGTACAGTGATAGGAGCATTTATATCCTTGATGATCCCCTTAGTGCCTTAGATGCTCATGTGGGAAATCACATTTTTAACAGTGCAATAAGGAAGCACCTGAAGGCAAAGACTGTCCTTTTCATCACTCATCAGCTTCAGGTACTACTACATCTCTCATACTTTTCCTTGGAGTTTCCTGAAATGCTATTTTAGTCAGTTGTTTTCATACTGAAGATTTCTGTGCTCTGACCTGTTACAGCACAACCCTGTTCCCCTATAGGATATAGGGTTTAGATTTACAAACTAGGTTTGCAAGTATGCACAGAGCACAGTCTGATTCTTTAGTTGATACTGGTGCATACTTGGCTGATGGGAACGGCTACACTTGGCTAAAGAAAATTTATCAGAAATACAAATACCTCTTGTTCAAAACATTTTTTGCCATAAAGTTGGTTTATCACATCTGCAAATGCTTAGATTTGATATCAGTGATGTATTTCAAGATATTTTTTTGCCATCTTCTATGCATAGTAATATGACTAATTGGTATATCAGGATTCGCAAAGTTTAAATATCCTGAATTCTGTCTTCCGTAACAGATGGTGCATTTGCATGTTCTATCAAAGACAAATCCTATATGCTTTATGTGCACATAGGATGAGAGTAATCATGGTCCTCTTGTCAATGCAGGACCTTTAAAAATCAGGTGTCTATTACCTAGAAGGTCAGCTACTTCACCTCCCTCTACCCCACCAAATCTCTTTCAATTATGGAAAAAGCTCATGTGGGCATGTGTCTGATGATTGGACATAACGATAAAGGCTTGTTCTCACTGCCATTTCTCCAGTATCTTGTTGATTGTGATGAGGTGGTTTTCATGAAAGAAGGCTGCATTACTGAGCGAGGAAGTCATGAGGAACTGATGAATTTAAATGGTGACTATGCAACCATTTTTAATAACCTACAGCTGGGAGAAACACCACATATTGAGGTACTTGTTTTTCCATTTTAAAGCACTCTGACTTTGCTAATGAGACGAACCAAATGATGTAGTTTGGAGACGACTGGAAAATGGCTTCCCATGTTGATCTGACCCATAGATTTCCAGTAGAATATTCTGTGCTTTGTGAGTCCTTTCTATTTGCAGTGCCAGTTCATATTTATATTTGAGGGATGTGTAATAGAGATAGCGACTCTGCCAACGAGCTGAAATGAACGTGAAATAAATGTGTCGTTTGCTCTGGTGATGCTCAGAGCAGAAAGCTTCTCCACTCTTTCGGTGTACACCTCATTTTTTAACTTGCCTTCAAATTAGCTCACACAGGCCAGCTTTTGTCTGACAAAGTTCTTTCTGGTTCTTTACCTCTTTTTCACATAACGTGACTACTGAGGCACAGAAAAAGTGACACAACTTGTCCAAAAGTCATATGCAACAGTATGTAGGAAATATGACTCTGAAAATAATTTTTTGTGGGGTTTTGGGGGAAAAAAATCTTGTTGCTTGAGACTGCTTCTGTTATGAAGCAATTGCTGTAAATGCAAACTTTGATTTTTGTTTTAGTATTTTAATCAGTGGATCATCCTTTCATGATTGCAAAAAATGTAAATAATGAACTATAAAATAAAAAGAACCATTCAGTAGGACATACATTTAAAATTTCAACAGTTTTGTTTTCCCACCTTTCCCCTGCTTGTTTCCTGCAGATATTTTTTGGAGTTAGCAACTTTGCTGCTTTTTTTGATGATTTTAGAACTTTTTCTCCACTTAAATGTTGTGTACGTTTTCTCCTGGTAAGAGATTAAAAGGCATACCAGCGGTTTATTTTGTAGGAAGTGAGAGGCTCCTTATTCATAAGTACAGACATAGAAAATCAAAGTTTCTGAAAAGCTGGTGTTGTGGTAAATATGCTGGTAGAAGGTGCTTGGTAGGATTTTTTTCCTGGGAGATGTTAGTGAAAGAAGTGAAGGAATGTAATGCGTTACCCTGCATATCCTTTCGGAGGCATGAAGATTATAATCCTGTCATTCTAAAATTAATGTGATGACAGTTAACGTGAGGTTTTCCAGCCAGTATGCTTGGCTGACCTTCACTCTCTGTAAGCGCTACCACGCATGGAAGGGACACTGATTTGTATTCCCTGTGGGATTAGAAGAAAGAGATGTTGAAGTTAGAGGCTCTGTGGTTTGCCATGTGCAAGATCTCTCTTCCTGACGTAAAAGGTGGGAAGATGACCTGGAAGATGATGTGTAGGGGGGTTCAATTAATTGATCTAGACAGTCACTGAACAGATAGTAATCTCCATTTGTGGGAGGACGGCCAGATTTAGAACATAATTGTGTGCCATTTAGTTTGGGCATTTGATTTCTGGAAGTCCAAGTTAACTAACTCCTTAGAGACAGCTTGAGCTCTTTTTGGAGCAATGACAGTTAGACTTTGGAAGAGAGAAGCACTTCATATGAGGTAGGAGTTCTAGCGTGAGGGGAGGTGTGTGTGGTGGGGGCAAACTCATAAAATTGTAAATTATTATTGCAAAGGGGGATTATATCTTTATGTAGGGGGTGGCATTCCTTCAACCTGTATGTGTACAGTGTCACTGACCCTGGAATTGCCGTGCAACACTGCCGGTACATACTGATAGCAGTCCAGGTCAGTAGAGGAGGAGAATTTAATCCACCAGGGCTGGCAGTCATCTCTAATAGCAGGCATATGAATATCCTTCATGTAAATGCTCAGGTATTGAGAACACTAGTCCTCCTGAGAAGGTAGCTTATAAAAGTTTAAGTTCAGACATGAATATGTCCAAAAAAATTATTCCAGTATGTTTAGTGCCATTGTTTTCCTACAGATTAATATAAAGAAGAACACAAACAGTTCACTGAAAAGACCCCAGGATAAAAGTACCAAAGCAGGGTCTGTGAAGAAGGAGAAAGTTGTGAAGAAGGAAGAGGGTAACTACGTAATCAGATTTCTGGCTCTAATTACCTTATACCCCAATAAGCTCAAAACTTCTTCCTTTCAAAGTGTATTATGAATGTGCCCCCAAAGTTTCAAAAGCTGCCTGAAGTCTTGGTCACTCAGTGTGATAGCACACAGGCAGTGGTCAGAGAGTACGAGTGCCTGTACGGTGTTTTTAATGAGGCTAGCACAGGTCAGATGCCATAGGGTACTAAAAATTCTTTTGTGCTTATCTCCCATACCACCTTCCCCTCCTGTCCTAAGAGGGCAGCGTATATAGCTTGGCACTTGCAGAGTCCTAGGGAGGCCATGCCATTTTTGTACGAAGAATGTGGAGGTCTGACCTCTTTCTTCGGGTTCTCCCTATTTAATGTTAACTTTAAACTTTGAGGTTAAAAGAAGCGATGATGGAGTTGATACCAGCCTAGTATTTGAGTCTGTGATGACCAAGCTTTTTCAGTACTACCAGGATGCAAATGACCCTGTTGATGAAATGTGACTTTTTGCAAAAATTTCTCAACCATTGAATTCTATGTTGAATAACGGCTGTGTTTTTGAAACTATCCTGTAAAATGTGGAAATTACTTTAGTCCCTCAGATGTTCTCAAGCTTGCAGAAGTCTCATGGAAAAACTTTCCTTTCCTCACTTCTTCTCCCTTCTCTTTTGTTTTGTAGGCCAATTGGTGCAGTTGGAAGAGAAAGGCAAAGGCTCTGTCCCCTGGTCTGTTTACGGCATCTACATTCAGGCAGCTGGGGGCCCCTTTGCGTTCCTCATCATCATGGCGCTCTTTGTGCTGAATGTGGGCAGCACAGCTTTTAGCAACTGGTGGCTGAGTTTCTGGATCAAGCAAGGCAGTGGAGTAAGATGAATAGCATTTCTACTCTCTTACGCCTAAGGGGCCAGGGGATTTCTCTCTGCCACTAATCCCAAGCAGTCCTATGGGAGCAAGTGGTACTTTGTAATGTAAGCAAGTTGTAAGGCTCCCCAAGAGGTAATCTCACCAGAGAGAAGCTCATCTCCAAGCATGAGAGCTCCATTTAAAAGAAAGATGTAACAGCTCATGCAGTTTTATACTGCCCTCTTGTTCTTTGCCTTAGTCTAAGAAAGGAAGGGAAAATGTCAAAGGAGCCAACAAGCTCGAATTACTAATTTGAGGAATTACTAATTTTAGTGATTGCTTTTATTTGAATGTGACCTTTACGTCTAACAGGATATTCTTTCTTGTCAAAGTATATGGCTTTAAGTCAAATTACTTGTGGGAGTTCCTTTGAAGAAAAGGATGATCTGGGATGCCTTGGGATTTTTCCCATTCTAGTGGCTTTGATTGTGAGTCTTGAAGTGTTTAAAGGTCCAAACTCAAAAAAAAAAAAAAAACAAACCACCCCTCAGAGAAGGGGTAATGAAGCACAGGTGGCCAGCAATGCTTAAATGAACAATGGAATCCTTAAATATACTGAAGGATTAAAAAAAAAAAGAAAGAAAGAAAGAAAAAAGAAAAAAAAAGATGAGAATGTTTAACAGTGTTTAGGTAAAGAAAATTATGGGCTCCTGGCAGAAAATAGCAACGGTATTTGATAAGGAGACAGTGCACAACATATCCAAAGCTAATTGTCCTGTGAAATAGGAACGGTGGCATGCAAGTATCTGGCACTGTTCAGAGGAGCACAAGAAAGGATAGGAGTGAGATGGAAAATCAGGAATCATATATAGTTTGATCAGGAATCAAATAGAGAGTTGTTGCTACCACAGAAATTGGAGGAAGAAAGTGCCTATTGCAGTAGTATTTTCAAAGATATTCTGGGAAAAAGGCCGAGGGCTACAAACCTTCAAGTGAAGTGTCTCTGCTAGGGAAAGCTTTCTGAAATATTCATGGATCATTGAAGTGTATGCTGGAAAAACGTGGTTCTGTTCAGTGGATGTGAATGGCATAGATTTATGAACGATAAATTATACAGGATAATCTGATGTGATTGTTAAATGAAATGACGACTTACCTGAAATACAATTTAAAGAGGGGTTGAGCAGTCAATATGAATATTGAAAGTATTCAGAGTTTTAACAGTTAACATAGGCAGTTTGGAAAATGATAAAACATGCTTTGGGATTTGAGCTATTTCTGACTACTAGAGGTTAAGATATGACCTTTATTGTAGAGCTGATTGTCCCACATCCACGTACTGTGGAAATTTTGCGCCTTCTGCTTTTGCAGTGTCTATTTGCTGGCACTATTTAAAGACCGAATGCAGAGTCGGAGACACCACAGGTCTGACCTTACTGACCCTTTCTACATAAAGGGGGAAGGCTGATTTAATAGCTGATACAGTTTCACAAGGAAAAATGCTATGTAATCAAGCTAAATAACCAGCTGGCTAATGAATTAATGAAGGAGGAGATAGGAATTAGTATGTTCTTAATGGCAGTTTGAAGAGTTGGGGCCACATCGGGTCTGCATTGATTTGCTATGCAGTAATGTTGTATGAAATAATTGAAACAAGGTCATATCGTATTAATGCAGCTTTGAGGAGCCCTTTGGAATTCTGGCACCTTCCCACACGTGCTGTATGTCAAACATATTCTAGCCAGCACCTGCCACTTGGAGGATGTCTCCTCTAAAAGATGCACAGTGAAACGTCAGTTCTCAAATTTGCCTGCAGTGTTTTGTGGGAGAGAAGCCTCCCACCACTTGAGAGCCATTGGGGCTGCCCTGGGTTCAGAGGCTGTGAGCATGAGACAGGGATACCTTTTTATAGGACCATCAGTCCCTTAGGAAAGGAATACCTGTGATTTGCCAGCCATCCTGAAATTCCCCTAATACCACATAGATCTTTGAGGGAAAGTAGGATGGGTCTAATATACTAAAGTGAAAGAAGTGAAAAAGGGTGTAAATGCTGCTAAGTTAGAGAAGTAGAGAAAAGTGTCTGGGTCTGTTCACAATTCTGTTCTTAAATACTGAATTTGTGTGCAGCTGCATTAAGCATGAAAGGGGCCGTGCATCTAAGTCAGGAGCGGTGTTTCCTCTGGGGTCTTTGCAGTAGCTAGCGTAATGGGACACAGTGTGAGACTCACTGAAACTCGCGTGAGAAGTCACATCAACAAAGCGTACGTAGACAGAAAAATGGCCCTAACAAAACCTAGTTTGTACCTGGGAATAGCAGACCACTCTTCTTTGAGGGACTTCAGGATTTCAAATTTGGAATGTTTCTGAGTTCTGTTACTCAAGAATGGCAACCAATTTTCATGCATAATTTAAACTAAAAAGTGAAGTGCTTTCTTTAAAGAAGTATACAAAATAATGAAGGGGCAACAGTTAAATTCCACCAAGTGTAAAGGGTACATGCTTAATCCTTGTCTTACTCAACTATTCACTGAACCCTTGAATTTCCCACAGAACACCACTGTGACGTTGGGAAATGACACTGTCATAAGCAACAGTATGAAAGATAACCCTCACATGCATTACTATGCTGGCATCTATGCTCTGTCTATGGCAGTCATGTTGATCCTGAAAGCTGTTCGTGGCGTTGTCTTTGTAAAGGTAGGTGCCAGCACTACCTATTGCTTTTCTTCTGCTCCCCCTCTTTCCCCTCCCCACGACTTCTGCGTATCCAGAACTGGCTGTCATTGTGGTGGTTCTTTGGGTCACCACCCAGAGATACTTCTGAACCTGAGGAAGTCAGGTTGTGGGTTGCAAGATTGCCATCAAGTCACTTCTTGGGGCTGCGTCGCGTTTGCGGTTAAACCTCTGCTTGAATCAATGAATAGCTTCCTTCTGCTGCCTGGAAACCCAGAATGCAAGAAAAGAGCTATACTTACAGTTCAAGAGAGACTATCAGTGGAATGTTTTGTTGCTCAGGGGAGGGGCAGTAATGTGAAGGCAAAGACCCTTTTGTAATAGTATAATGTTTGCTGTGCTACCAGG